ATATATATATATATATATATATATATATATATATATATATATATCGATTGTCTTGTATATTGTGTTTATATGTGTGTATAATCAAAGACTATTTTTTCATTAATAATTCCTATAAATTTAATTTTCAATTAAAAAATTATATATATATATATATATATATATATATATCGATATATATATATATATATATATATCGATATATATATATATATATATATATCGATATATATATATATATATATATATCGATATATATATATATATATATATATCGATATATATATATATATATATATATCGATATATATATATATATATATATATCGATATATATATATATATATATATATCGATATATATATATATATATATATATCGATATATATATATATATATATATATCGATATATATATATATATATATATATCGATATATATATATATATATATATATCGATATATATATATATATATATATATCGATATATATATATATATATATATATCGATATATATATATATATATATATATCGATATATATATATATATATATATATCGATATATATATATATATATATATATCGATATATATATATATATATATATATCGATATATATATATATATATATATATCGATATATATATATATATATATATATCGATATATATATATATATATATATATCGATATATATATATATATATATATATCGATATATATATATATATATATATATCGATATATATATATATATATATATATCGATATATATATATATATATATATATCGATATATATATATATATATATATATCGATATATATATATATATATATATATATATATATATATATAATTTTTTAATCGATATATCTATATATATATATAAAATTATGCAAAAAAAATATATTTGCATAATTGTAACTTTAATAAATTAATTTGATTTGAACTTATATATATATATATATATATATATATATATATATATATATATATATATCGAGGCTGTCTTATGTTCAAACTTTTATATATAAAAAGAACTGACTCTCAGAGAGATAAAAAATCTTTCTAAAATTATATTTTTCCTATTTTAAATTCTTAGCAGTTTGCAGTGACTTAAATATTGATAAGAGTATTTTAACTTATGTAAAAGAAAATCGATAGCTTAAAGTTAATGCAATCTGGAATAACTAATAAGTGCTGACTCATTCATAAATACATTAAGTTTCAATATGCATGCTCGGAAAGAGGACTCATTTAACACAAGCGACTCATTTAACTGGTCATGGTCTTATCTTTCGGGTCTTTATTTGTGATTTTAATCTCATTTTTTGTATATTTCTTTCAATGTCTTTAAATTTCCCTTACTATTTCTCTCAAGTGTTTTCTTTATATGATTTCCTTGCACTTCAAACGTTTAATTGATAATCGTTATGATATCATCGATATCGTAATCTTCGATTAAAAAATTATGTATATATATATATAAAATTTTTAATATACATATATATATAGAGTGTTGGTTAAGTATGTTGCCATACTCAACAGAGCGATTCTTTGGTTTATTTCAAGTAAAAAAGTTCATATAAACATGTGTCCTAAACGTTTTTTCATATTTTTTTAATGCTCATGTGCGAAAAGAAAGCTTATCTAATAACATTAATCATGGTTCGACGAATTATGCTTATGATATAATCACTGCAAATATGTGTATAATGATAAGTGTAAATTCAGTAGACTCCACGTCTCACGAACGTTCGAACGATCATAACCTTCAAATCTACGCGCGAGAATTCCTTGTCACCAAACAACTTGTTGTTATTCAAATCGTACCGCTCACAATTTGTCGTGATTAATCATCTCGTGAGAGAAAATTTTCGCGGAGAGCCACGGAAAAAAGTTCCGAAAAAGATCCCAGAAGATCCTGAAAATTTGCACTCCAAAATTGACGCAAACATGTCAATTTCAATTAGTTTCACGCATGTTCCCGCTGTTGTGAACACACCAAATCGCTCTTTTCTCTCACCTGCTCCTTCAGAGCTTCTGCCATGATTTGGTTTCCGTTCTTCATTTCCACGTTTGTTTGAAACACAACGAGTGAGAATAATCCGGTGTGACAACGTGACGATGCGCGCTTTCCGTCGGGAGCGTAATTGCTGGTCAGCTGACGAGAGTCCACTGGTGAGAGATTACAAGCCGCTCGCTCACTCGTCCTCTCGTCGTCAGCTGTTAAATGCGACTAATGCATTGCGACCGTTGTATATAGCATACTTGCTACGTCGCACAATGACTTTTCAATTACATTACCGATAGCGGGAGAACGAATGAACTGAATGACACACGGGCGCAACGGAAAATAAATTGTTCATGAATTTAAAAGCAAGCTACTTATCAGAACCGTTTCAGACAGCACGAACTTCTAAAAAAAGACTTCTTCAGGATGCCCAAAAAACGTTTTTAAAAAATAAAACATCTTTTGAGTGTTTTAAGATATTTTTTATATGTTTCAGTTTAATGACTAAAAAATCACTTTAGTTATAATTATAATAATTATAATTATTCAGGTTTGGGAAAGTTACTTTTTAAAAGTAACTAGTTACAGTTACAATTCCCCTTACTGAAAGTGTAACTAGTTACAGTTACAAGTTACTGGCTATGAAAAGTAACTCGTTACAGTTATAGTTATTCAAAAAGTAACGAGTCGTTACTTTTAAGTTACTTTCTTGAAATGATTGTATATTATTATTGTAAATACAAAAATTTTACATTTTAAGCTGTACTAAAATGTAAGAATTGAATTTTATAATTAATATCTATCACATTAATTAGTCTACTTAATCAATTTCAAATCTGTACTTAATTATTTCAGCGACCCCAAAAACTCCCGAAGTACCCCCAAAAACTACCAGATTTCATCAAAATCAAGTCACTTTCCACATTTTGGTCCGTCGTATCGAATCCGCTATTTTAATTTTCAAATTTAAGATTCAGAATCGAAATCAGCGACCCCAAAAACTCTTGGATATTGAGTTTGATGAAAATCTTGCTAACGGGAAAAAATAAAATGATGTGCACATTAGTACGTCAATGTATCATTTTTGGTACATCCTTTATTTAATGCAAAAGTGCGTCAATGCTAGCAAAGTGATTAAATTCTAAAATTTTGATCTAAAGTTTGTATTCAGCGACTTGAAAAGTACTTTAGTACTAACTTTTATAAAAAAACAAACAGCATTTTAATTTTTGGTCAGTTGATGCTGATTTTCTCTGCTAGCGAAGTGGTTAACATAATAAAAATTTAATAATAGTCTTGTAGAGGTAAAAGAATTTAATATGCTTCATAAATACGTTGATAAATTTATTAAATTAATATACGATTACTATATAATTTTAATTTTATTTCACGTTTCCCAAGTAACTATTAAAGTCACTATTAAAAAAGTTACAAGTTACTAAAAATAAGTAACTAAGTTACAGTTACCGAAAAAATATAACTGTAACTGTAACTTCGTTACAAGTAACGAGTTACTTCCCAACCCTGTAATTATTATATTACAATTGTCATTATTATATAAGATGTCCCAGCCCGATTTTATAATCCCTCGTCAAGACGTAGATCGGATTGAGATGAACACAAAAATCCAAAACCATTTTGCAATATTCGCAGTAACTATTGAGATATTAATTAAAGAAGATTTGTAAATGATGACGCTCGATATGGTAAACGAGTTATAATGACGACCTCTGCTGTTGTGTACTTATATATTAGGTCAAACTGGACAAAAGAATTCTCTATTATTTTGCAAAGGACTACGTGGATTTTTAATTATTACATAAACAAGATTAATGGATTATCGCGCAAAAACGTGAAATCATTTTTTTAATTAATAATTAAAACTCTATTTAGTTATTTGCAAAATGATAGAGAACTTTTTTATTCACTTTGACCTAATATAAAGGAGATTGCTGTATCCCGATTTTGAGTTTTTGATTTTCTAAACTACAATTTTGACTAAAAAACCTTGAAAAAATATATTATTAAACTGTATATATATTTAAGCATCTTAAAAAACATTTTTATTACCATCTGACAGGAGAATACAATAATTTTAAAAAATTAAAAATTTTGTTTTAAGCCATAACTTAACATATCTTAAAACACCCACCAAAAGTTTCAATCTTTAAAAAAACGGTTTATATTTCTAAAGAAATATAGTATTTTATTAAATTTAATAACATTTTGGTAAATATTATATATAAGTAAATCAAAAATATGACATAATAGCTATAATATAAACAAATAAACTTCTACTTATTCTAATTGTCAGTAAAAATGAAAATGTTTATAGTCGGACAAATCATTAAAAGTTATTAAAAAAATCAGTTAATATAACAATAAGTTAATAAATTTATATAAAACAATCAGCTAATATATTTTTTGAAATACTGTTTCAAAATACAAAAGAAACTTTCTAGTAAAAAGTTCTTTTCTTGTAAAAGGTTGAGAGTTTATAGATAAGAAATGAGATTATAAATAATATATTATATTATTCTATACTTCACACGTTCTCACAATCCTTAATTGATAACAAAACTTTAATTATAACAAATTACAAAAATCGTAGAATATGAGTAAATTTACTGTAAAGGTTAGAAAATACAAAAGACTTAATTTATGTGTAAATAATCATAATAACACGAAACTATAGCTTTAAAGAAATTATCTAGTAACTCAACAATTAGTACTATTAGTTGTGATCATTATTCGTTCTAATGGTGGAGTGTTCTAACATATACCGAAAGTACACTACAACTTATCTGTACCTACATATCATGCGTGATTATTTACAAACCTTCTACAATTAACATATCAATCATTATTACGATTTTCGCAAAACGGTATTGGACCTTTTTGTTCATTCCATTCTATGTTCTCACAAGTGATCCAATTTCAAAAGATTAACAATATTTATGAATAAAATGAACAAAACATGGACCATTTTCCAGACATCTAAAGAAAATCTGCTATTTTTCTTTCAATACCCAAATTTTCTACGAAGATTTAATAGAAAAAAATAACAAAGTTTTTGCACGTTTTTGCAATCTATAAAAGTTTGTGTTATCTATCGAACATTTAAAATAAACGCGCGTGTCAGCGCGTTAATATTTATAAATAATAAAACAAAACATTAACTCGGTATTTTTAATCTTATTTTCAACTCTTCTTTTATGGCTAAAAGCGCCTCTAAAAATAACTTATAGTCTTTTCATTGACTACGAGCCCTTTTTAAAGATGCTTTAAGCGATATAGAAGAGCTCAAAATACGAGTTTCTGTATAAATCTATATATTTTGTATAAATATCCCAATGAAAAATTTTTCATATATAATTACATAAAATTATATATAATTATACATAATTATATATTATTATGTATCAAATTTGTCCATTCATGTTCATACATTTTACTTATATATAATTATACATAATTATGTATAATAATATATATAAATTCATATATAATTTTACATAATTACGCATAGATTTATATGTAATTATATATATTGTTATACATAATTGTGTATAATTATATATAATTTTATATGATTATATATAATTATACATAATTATGTATGGACAAATTTCATATATAATTTTGCATGAAAAATTTTTCATCGGGATATTATGCCGTTTTCGACGGCAGCTGTCGCGGTCTGCGCGACTTCATTTTGTCAGCGATTATCGCCAAAGTTACTTTTCAAAGTGGCGTCTTAAAATATAACTCGACGAACACGTCGAGCGTGTAAGTCGATTTCACGATCATAGTGATACCTGCGCCTCGTCGTACGTGTAACAAATTGTTAATTCGCACGACCGGTCTCCTCCGTTTTGTTCGAGGTAATTAATGATAATTAACGATGACGTTCAACAAACAATCGAGCATCTCATACAATAATCCAACACACAGTCGACAACACAGTCTTATTACATAATGCCTCGATAGCGCGAGTAAAACAATTTTCAACACATGTATATTTAATTTCGTAATCTCTCGTGCCTCCAAAATGATTAGATTAACCGGAAATTCGCAATATATGTGAAACTGTATTTACCCGCGCTGTCGTTTTCGCATTGTTGTTAATCCATAAATGGGATCAAACTCAGACTGATCGAGATGTGCATAAACAAAGAACTTCTCTAATAAGAAGTATGAAATGAATCATTTTTCTAAGTAAAGTAAAAGTAAAAATCCACAGTTTGGACATATGCTTAATTCTGGACATTCTTATTGTTTTGTATCTTTAAATACAAATATTTAAACTTTTAATATCTATACATATATAAAATAGAATGTCTGTGTCTGAATTTTTCTTATTGACTCCTAAACAATGTGGACCTTAAACAATGTGGACCAAATTTTGCATAGTTATTCTCTAGAACCTTACGGAAAATATAAACTACTATAAAACTGGGATACTCCATTCCATTCCTGCTGATTTCATTCTATGGACATTGTGACAACTTGACCAACATCGAATAATTTAAGAGTATATATATTTTTTTTAAATATAATATATATATATATATATATATATATATATATCTTATGTTAAAAATTTAAATATTCGTATTTCATGACTAAAATAATAACAAATACAGAGTTAAGTTTTGTTTTTTAGATCTTCAACTCATAGAGATGTTCGATTAGGGTTTTAACTTGTAAACTTTTAACTTGTTTTGTAATGTTTAAAAATTATTATTTTGTCTAAAATATATCTTAGTTTATAAATACTTATTAAGTCTATAAAAGATAAATCATATTTATATGTATGTATATATATATTCACACATGCTTACGTTCAACCCCTCATTATTCTCGTATGAGGCAAACACTCAATTGAAATTTGATTTTCTATTTATATAAGGATATCTTAACAGTTGGCTTTTAAACTCTTTGACTTTTCATTTACAACTTTTTAGATTATATTTGTATGATCACTTTCTTAATTTTGTCAGTGTAATTTTTATTAATAGATTCTGGAAGTGTTAGCGCGTGCTCATAGCGAGAATAAATACATGAGGTTAATGCGACTTGTGCTGTTACCAAATTTAAGCTTTATTCTGCTGAATCGATAATAAATCAATGTTCTTACTGAAACTCTGTATTAATGCAGTAATAATTACATTTTCATTTAAATTTAATTATAATAATGGACGCGGGATTTCACTCATGAAAGCACTAACATTCGTCAACCGA